TATTTTTAAACCTTTGTCCCTTTAATTTAAGACTATGTCCTCTTGTTGTGGTAGGTTTCCTTCTTTTAAATATAGTCTCCTCCTTTACTGTGTTGATTCCCTTCATGTATTTAAATGTTTTTAGCATATCCCCCCTGTCTCGTCTTTCCTCCAAGCTATACATGTTAAGTTCCTTTTGTTGCAGAGTGAGGGCAGTTGAGTTTGGAGAGGGTGAGATTAACAGGATAATCAGGGCCGTCTTTAATAATGATTGGGCCCTGGGCAAGCATTTGATAGGGCCCCCTGACCCTAACTCCCTGGCATGCAATCACGATCTCGACTTCCCAACGCAGTAACGGAACCATTTTCCCATGCTTGCAGAGTTGTATTTAGCACTGAGTTGTGTTTGTGTGTTTGAATGGAAGCATGTTTTTGTATGGAGTGTGTTTGTGTAAATGTAGGGGTGTGTTTGTAGGTGGTGTTGGTGTTTGAATGCAAGCATGCATCTATGTGTATTTTTTTTTTTTTTATGCTGGGTGTGTTTATATATATTTTTGGTGTTTAACACAAAGATGTATTTGTATGTATTGTTGACGTTTCAATGCAGGACTGTGTTTGTATGTAGTGTTGAAGGTTGAATGCAGGGGTGTACTTGTGTGTAGTGTTGGCGATTTGAATGATGAGATGTACGTACATGTACACATATACTGCCACACACACACACTGTGATACACAAATACACACTGAAACACATGCAGATGCACAGATATAAACACTGACACTCACACTAACACACAAGCAGATACAGACTGACACAGATACAAACACTAACACATACAGACACACAACCTGACACACATACAGAGACAAATATACAAACACTGACACATATGAATACTCAGACACACTGATACATATACTGACACACATGCAGATACACAGATAAAAACACTGACTACATACAGATGCACACACACAGATATATACACGCAGGTGCACACAAATACATACAATGATAACTTACAGATACACACACTGACACACATACAGACACGCATATACAAAACCTGAGACACATGCAAAGACACACAGACCACATAGAGAAACAGATATACTAAATACAGATACACAGATATACATACTGACAGACATACTGATACACACACATACTTACATACACACAGACATACTAAGACACACACAAATACTGACACACACATGCAACGTTTACATTTTTACACATTGACAGGCATACTGACACAGTGACAGACAAACTGACATGCACAGACATACTGACACACACAGTCATACTGACACACACAGACAGACAAACTGACACACACAGACATACTGACACACACAGACATACAAACTGACACGCACATACATACTGACACACACACACATAAGCCCTGACAGACATACTGACACACACAGACATACTAAGACACACACTCACACACACAGATTTAATGACACACACAGACAGACATACTAAGACACACACAGACACCCTGACACAAATACCCTGACAGACATACTCACACACATACTAACACACACACAGACATACTGACTCACACAACACAGACACATGCAAAGTTTACATTTATAAAGCCACCCTCCAGCCCTACCTTATGGGTTCCCTGGGGGCTGGGGGCCAGCGGCAGGCTGAGGTCGTTGGGAGTGTGAGGCTCCTGCACTCCAGCTCCCTCCTGACGGCCTCCTACTCCATCCTGCGCGGCTTCATTCTATCTGGGAGGAAGTGACTCACAGCAGTCACTTCCTTCCAGCCTGCTGCAGTAAAACAAGGGGGCCAAAGTGCCCGACCGGGGCCTCTTAGTGTGGGGGCTCCTGGTGCAGCCGCAGCACCGGCGGGCCCAGGGGGCAAATACATTTATTTATTTTTTGCGGACAGCGGGGCCCACGGGGTAGCTGCTTTGTGCCCCCCCAGGAGTAACTGGGCCCGGGGCAGCTGCCCCGTTTGTCCCGCTTTAAAGACGGCCGTGAGGATAATGTGAGTGTGGATGCATGAAGAGGCTGACAGTGTGGAGGTGACAATGTGTGGGGAGGTCTCAGTGTGAGGGGATGCCAACAGTGTGTCTGGGAAGGATGACAGTGTGTGGGAGTATGGTGACACAACATTGTTGTGGGTGACGGCGTGTGGGGGGCATGACAGTGTGTGTGAGGGGGTGATACTGTGTGTGGGATTGATACAGTGTGTGTGGGGGGTGATGTGTGTGGGGTTGATGTTGGGGAGGGAAGAGGGTGATGGAGGAGGGGGGCTGATGGTGAGAGAGAGGGGGCTGATGGTGAGAGAGAGAGGGGGGGCTGATGGTGAGAGGGAGAGAGAGGAAAGTGGGTGATGGTGAGAGGGAGAGGGGGTGACGGTGAGGAGAGGGGGGGGGTGACGGTGAGAGAGAGAGGGGGGGGTGAGAGAAGAGGGGGGTGAGAGAGAGAGGGGGACGGTGAGAGAGAGGGTGAGAGAGAGAGGGGGTGACGGGAGAGAGAGGGGACGGTGAGAGAGAGAGAGGGGGTGATGGTGAGAGAGAGAGGGGGGTGATGGTGAGAGAGAGAGGGGGGTGATGGTGAGGAGAGAGAGGGGGGGTGATGGTGAGAGAGAGGGGGGGGTGATGGTGAGAGAGAGAGGGGGGTGATGGTGAGAGAGAGAGGGGTGATGGTGAGAGAGAGGGGGGTGATGGTGAGAGAGAGAGGGGGATGGTGAGGAGAGGGGGTGATGGTGAGAGGGAGAGGGGGTTGATGGTGGTGAGGGAGAGGGGGGTGATGGTGAGAGGGAGAGGGGGGTGATGGTGAGAGGGAAAGGGGGGGTGATGGTGAGAGGGAAAGGGGGGGTGATGGGGAGAGGAAGAGGGGGACTAAATACCTTTCTTTATTCCCTGGTGGTCCAGTGTGGGCTCCCTGGTGGTCCAGTCTGAAGCTCTGCACACCATGTGTCTCGCGAGACCCATCAGAGCATTGCCGTGGTAACCCGTGAAAACGCTCTGATTTGTCAGATCTCGCTATGCACATGGTCTGCAGACCGGTGTCTGCGATGGGCGCTCTCCGTCCGGGCCGGGTAGCCAGGAGGGGCCTCGCACCTAGCAGCATACTGAGCAAGCCGCCGGGCCCCCTCCTGGTGTCGAGTCCTCGGTCACTGACCCAACACAGTCTGCCCTAAGGCAGTTTAGGCAGCCGCAAGGCCCCAGCCAGCGCAAGGCCTTAGGCAGCCGCCTAAACAGAGGGCTGCTTCTGTCTGCAATGCTTTGCCACCTAGGGATCTATCATTTGTCCATCCTTCCAGGGATTTATTTATTGAGCAGTGTTTGTATGTTTGAATGTAACCATGTTGTTGTATAGAGTATGTGTGTGTGAATGTAGGGGTCTATATGTATGTTTTTAATATACTGCTGCCATTTGATAGCAGTGGTTTACTAGTGTGTAGTGTTTTCCTTTGATTTAGCTGAATGTCTGTTTGATGTTTGAATGCAGGGGTGTATTTGTGTGCAATGTTAGAGTTTGAATGCATGTATGTATGCACATATACATTGCCACACACATCCGGATAAACAGACAGATGCAATTTGTTTTTTGTTTTTAAAGTGCTCTGTGTTATCACGCTTGAGTGTGAATTTAATGTTTGTAATAAGATATCGCCACTACACTCTGGTCTACTACACCTTCTGATTAGATACTGAGTATAAACTAAAACAATGGGAGAAAAAACTATATAGTGTAAAAAAACATAGCACTAAGATATATATTAAGTGGTAGTGGTTAAACTCACATGGACCTGAGCCTCAGAGGACAGGCTCAGGTCGTATGTACAGTAGCGTACTCTGGTGACACAATCCCCCTTAGTGATGCTCTATCATGGTGCACAAGCTCCTAGTGTAATATGTCCAAAATACAGTTATAAAATATATAGTCAGAAATCACTGCTCACCTTAAATAGAGCACAAAATATCTGGCTCTAGCTGGAATGACCAAGTGCCTTTGGAGGGCACTACCCTTCTGTGAAAGGAGGTAGCTTGAACAACTTGTTGGGCTATAAAGTTTTTATTGATGCATAATCAAATTAAAACAAACATTTAAACCATAAAAATAAAAGCTTAACCGATTGTCCCGGGCCGGATAGAGAGGCGACCTTTGAGTTGCAGATGCACAGGGCAGCAGGGCCTTATCACCCCTGGACATTGGATGACAGGTTCACAGACCCACAGTATGTCTATTGTTCTCTTAGTTGAGCAATGCTTTCTGCACATTAGTTAGCTAGTTATGTGCTCAAAATTATTTTTATGCAATAGCCCATTTAGTTCACCAGTGGTACTTAATGGAATGTTTTAATGCAATTAAATTTTTTCTTATAAGATATTAAAGAAACACTATAGTCACCAGAACAACTACAGCTTATTGTATTTGTTCTGGTGAGTACAATCATTCCCTGTAGGCTTTTTGCAGTAAACACTGTCTTTTCAGAGAAAATGCAGTGTTTACATTACAGTTGAGTGATAATTCCACTGGCCACTCCTCTGATGGCTACTAGAGGTGCTTCCTGGGGTAGTGTTGTACAGTGTGCAGCACTGTCATTCAGTGTCTCCGCTATCTGCATGGAGACACTGAACTTTCCCTATAGAGATGCTGATTGGCCAGTGCTGTGTTTGGCTTGTGCTGGCTCTGCCCCTGGTCTGCTTCTTGACAAGCTCAGCCAAGCCAATGCTTTCCTATGTGAAAGCATTGTGATTGGCTCAGAACACCACTTATGATTATGTCAGCCATGCAGGTAGATCAGGGGCAGATACAAACTCACACACATACAGATACACAGACATACTCACTAACAAACATACAAAACAGAGACACACACACTAATACACATACAGATACAGACACATACAGATACAGACACATACAGATACAGAGCCACACATATACACATAAAGACACCAAGATACACATGCAGAAACAAAGATAGATACACTGACACATTTACAGACACACAGATACACAGACACACTTACTTACAGACACACAGATAGATACATAGACACACAGGTAAATACATAGACACACACACATACAGACTGACACACAAACACCTAGATACACATACAGATCCTTTTGTAGCAGGGTTATTGTGATATACTGTGGGGTAGGCTTGGAGTCTGTGCTACTGGTGGAGTTTGAACCATATTCCTCAGAGGAGGTTGACAGTGACTCTCCTGCAGGTGACAACTTGGGCCTTTGTGGCCAGATTAACAAATTGCCTATATCATGCAAAATGTGAGTCCTTACTCGATTTCAAATGTTTCCCTATGGTGTCTAGGGGATGCCAGGTAAGTTGTCCGAGGTCTGTAGTTGAGAAGAGACTATATATGGCATATTGAAAAAGCAAGTTGTGGAGATCGGAGCTCCTGACAAGCATGTCTTTTCTCAGCGCTGGTAACTCTGCCTCCCGTGATTCTACAATCACAATTACCAGGCAATTTGAAATACATTTTTCCAAAACTCTGTTGTGGCATTGGGTTTTAATAAATTGCCTTTCTGGACCTTGGAGTGCCTGAACCTCATGTATTTTCCGCATATATTACCATTTCCTGACCTATGACATCATGACTTTTTCAACATTACATTCTTTGTACTTTCTTCTTGCCATTGGCTTATTTGTCTACCAATTATGCTTTGATATCCACTACTCAATGCACCTGATCTAAACATGAAGAATGTATTGGCATTATATGATAATATGTACATAAACTGTAATGCTTTAAAAAAGTGCAGATTGCAGTGTGAATTTGTGAATGCTAGTAACTATTTTATTCATGTTTTATGGTTGGGTAAAGGGGTGTGACAATAGGAGCGAATTTATAGAACTGCTCTAGGGCCCAAGCTCATTAAACTGACCTTGCTTTTTTGATGTTGGCACAACTAAAAGTAAAAATATATAAACATGACTTAATTGAGATGAAGTTGTTATGGGAGCTGACGTGTTCCTTTAAAAAATGTACTTCATAGCTCTTATAACTGAAATTAAATGTAACCATTAACTGTCTTTAAAATGAAAACATTATATAACTAGAATGATACGATCATTCGGGAAAAGGCCATGCTTCAATTATACTTTTGCAAATAAATAAATTAAATGAAAACTAAATCTTAAGAAGAATACAAGAAAATATGAAGATGTTCTATGTGTTAGTAGACTATTCATTCATTACTTGAGTTTGTATTAGGGATATGGCATTCTTAGCTTTTATTTGTTAAGGAAATCTGAGAGACTTTGTAGAGAACATTTTCACTAAAAACAAAATATTGCAATTCTGTTGTGACTTTTAAGGGCATTTTAAATAAATAGATTCATCACTTCATCACAGATTGTTTCAGTGTTTGGCAGTTCCCATCTCAAATAGACTCTTGGGGCTTATGCATCATTAAACAGAGTTCTTAAAAATGCAAAACGGTAAACATACAGAATTGTGCCAAGGCTTTCTGCCACCAATAAGTATTATGCTGAGAGGTATTTATCTAGACTTTAGGTTTTTATATGTGCATGAAAAATTATTTAACATTACACCAGCAAATACATATGTAACGAGAATATGCAGAATTTTACTATTTTTACAAAAAAAAGCTTGAAAAATTACTAGAAATGCAATCTGCTCAATTTCTATAAGGGGATTGTAATAGTATTGCAATCTGGCAGTATGTACAACAGAAAGATGTCCATGCAATAATAATGACAATATTGCTAAATTATAGCGAGGTGCAGAAGTCACTATTAACTCACGTGATACTACACTCATGTTCAGGTACTCTGCTTCAGTCTGACTGCAATGCCACGGACAACCCTGTTTATCAAACCTTTCCAAAACAGTTTTAAAACCATAGACAACCTACAGAGCCATAGCACCATAACCACAACAATGTTCTGTAACTGTAGTAGTTATGTTGCTTAGATGGCCTTTTAAAACTAAACAAATATAATACAAGTGACATATTTACAGCAGGAGCCTACTAAATGCCACAATAACAGTATTAGATTGTCCTCCTTATCCTTGGAGGCCAATGTCAACATTACTGTGGGGATCACAAATTAAATTTAAAAAAACAGCCAATGCCAAAAACAGATTTATAGCAAATACTGGGACTGGAGGAGGGTGGAGTGTTCTTTTAACAAATCTTTTGAAAACACTTGGGACAAAATTGATATCAGGCAATCTAGACCAATTCATAAATGTGTACTGCTACTTTAAAGGAACACTATAGTCACCTAAATTACTTTTGCTAAATAACGCAGTTTTAGTGTATAGATCATTCCCCTGCAATTTCACTGCTCAATTCACGGTCATTTAGGAGTTAAATCACTTTGTTTCTGTTTATGCAGCCCTAGCCACACCTCCCCTGGCTATGATTGACAGAGCCTGCATGAAAAAAAAACTGCTTTCAAACAGATGTAATTTACCTTAAATAATTGTATCTCAATCTCTAAATTGAACTTTAATCACATACAGGAGGCTCTTGCTCTAGCAAGCTATTAACATAGCAGGGGATAAGAAAATCTTAATTAAACAGAACTTGCAATAAAGAAAGCCTAAATAGGGCTCTCTTTACAGGAAGTGTTTATGGAAGGCTGTGCAAGTCACATGCAGGGAGGTGTGACTAGGGTTCATAAACAAAGGGATTTAACTCCTATATGGCAGAGGATTGAGCAGTGAGGCTGCAGGGGCATGTTCTATACACCAAAACTGCTTCATTAAGCTAAAGTTGTTCAGGTGACTATAGTGTCCCTTTAAGTTAGAAAACTATATTTTGTCATGGCAAGCTGACATGTTTAAACATAGAATGTGACAGCAGATAAGAACCATTTGGCCCATCTAGTCTGCCCAATTTTTTAAATACGTTCATTAGTCCCTAGCCTTATCTTATAGTTAGGATAGCCTTATGCCTATCCCATGCATGCTTAAACTCCTTTACTGAGTTAACCTCTACCACTTCAGCTGGAAGGCTATTCCATGCATCCACTACGCTCTCAGTAAAGTAATACTTCCTGAAATTATTTTTAAACCTTTGTCCCTCTAATTTAAGACTATGTCCTCTTGTTGTGGTAGTTTATCTTCTTTTACATATAGTCTCCTCCTTTGCTGTGTTGATTCCCTTTATGTATTTAAATGTTTCTATCATATCCCCCCTATCTCGTTTTTCCTCCAAGCTATACATGTTAAGATCCTTTAACCTTTCCTGGTAAGTTGTATCCTGCTAGCATTTCCTGCTGCTCTAATACATTGTCTGCCTACCTTTTAGGGAAAGCTCTTCGCTAATATTGCGTTTTTTGGCTGCCAAATCACCTCAAACTACTGCTTTTATGATCCATGGAAGAAGCTTTTCTGTACCCTGACACCACAATACTCAGTTAAACTTTTGTCTCTAAATCACTGTAGCTCGGATTCCTGAACCGTGCGGCCTGGTACACTTCAAACCATCTCCTGTCCTGGAACTTCCAGTGCTCAAGCGGTACTCTTGCAGTGAGGGTTATCCTGGTCCTCACTGGAGTGGTCAAATCACCAATAGCCCTTGGCAGCTGACTCCTAAGATAGTTGCGGCTCTATGAGAGATACCACTTGAGCCGGAAGCCACTGCGCTTGCAGACGGAAGCGTTCCCTCAAGCATTTCACAATATCTGCAGGTTGGACCAGGTTAGACCAGAGGACTCTACAGCCACACTCTCCAGAAGCTCCTCATTGCAACTACTCGCCATCAATGCTGGCCTATGCAAAACTATATGCAACACCCAATCTCACCTATGGGTAAGCGGCAGCTACCAAGCACTCTCACCACTGACTTGTGACACAAAGAAAAGTCTGACATATCTGCGACCAATCAGCACTGTGGAATGGCATCCTGTTGATTATCCCAGTCTCTACTAGGACTTACAACAAGCTCTTCTCAGCATACTGCCATGACGGCATATTCAAACCTGCAATTAGCGGTACAAGCCAGGGCATGGTTCCATGCCGGGATCCAACTAAAGGGAATGCATCTCTTTTTCTCTCCCACCTTTGTCCCCACCATGGTGGAGGCTTCAGCGCAAGCTCTAAGCTTGTATATATTTATGTTGTTTGCAGGCACAATTTTTCTTGTCACTAATAAGCTTTTATGTGCAGCTATGCCAGTGATTGTATCATAGATTATTATAGCTAATCCATTCTGTTACCTCTAATTTCTGTTTGCATATAATCAGACCTTTTCATGCAACTAGAGTACTTAGGTAATCGATTATTTTAAACTATGGATCTCTGCTATTAGTCTCTAGGATGCTGCTACAAATATTATATTATCAATTTCTATTAATGTTCTTGCTGTATTATTATCTTTGCACTGCAAAAATAAGTAAATAAAAATAAAGAGGGTATGTCTACAGATTAAATGTACATTATGTAAAAAGTCACCACAAGGGATGTGCAGGCAGCTCCCACTATTTCCATTGTATTAGCCTTTTTACTACCGTGTACTTTTTGATTAAAAAAAATATTATTATAACATTTATTTGAAGCAAGGGATGCTTAGCTAGCATATAAACATATCATAACACATAGAAACATAGAATGTGATGGCAGATAAGAACCATTCGGCCCATCTAGTCTGCCCAATGTTTTGAAATACGTTTAATTAGTCCCTGGCCTTATTTTAAGTCTAGGATAGCCTTATGCCTATCCCACGCATGCTTAAAATTCCTCACTGTGTTAACCTCTACCACTTCAGCTGGAAGGCTATTCTATGCATCCACTACCCTCTCAGTAAAGTAATACTTTACTGATATTATTTTTAAACCTTTGCCCCTCTAATTTAAGACTATGTCCTCTTGTTGTGTTGTGGTAGTTGTGCTTCTTTTAAAAATAGTCTCCTCCTTTACTGTGTTGATTCCCTTTATGTATTTAAATGTTTCTATCATATCCCCCCTGTCTCGTCTTTCCTCCAAGCTATACATGTTAAGATCCTTTAACCTTTCCTGGTCAGTTTTGTCCTGCAATCCATGAACCAGTTTAGTAGCCCTTCTCTGAACTCTCTCTAAAGTATCAATATCCTTCTGGAGATACGGTCTCCTGTACTGCGTACAATACTCCAAGTGAGGTCTCAACAGTGTTCTGTACAATGGCATGAGCACTTCCCTCTTTCTACTGCTAATACCTCTCCCTATACAAACAAGCATTCTGCTAGTGTTTCCTACTGCTCTATTACATTGTCTGCCTACCTTTAAGTCCTCAGAAATAATCACCCCTAAATCCCTTTCCTCAGATGTTGAGGTT